ATTAAGGGAAAGTAATTTGACTTACAGACAATAAATTATTTTGGAGTGAGTGCGCCACCAAAACAGTATCAAATGTCAAAGTACTAGACAACTCAGCAGATCCTTCCCACACTATATTACAAGTATTTTTAAGCTATAAAAATAACTTGTTAGGAGGATGGATGACTAGTTTGTAAGTTATTAGAGTCTCTAGTCATATGATGGGATGAATCTCATCATATTGGATATCCAATAATCGCATAACAACATTATTTGGTATGCCTTTTACACCATAATGATTGCAAACAAAGTTTTTTTTTAAATTTTTCCTGATGATGGAATGCTTCGTCTCTTCGTATATCATATTGAATCATCATATGGTTGAACATTCACGGAATGGTCTAGATCTTTTCACGATTTGTCTTTGTTGTGCTTCTCTACTAACATACACATAACAACTTTTCAAATTCAATTTAGGATCTCTTTGCATAATCACTAAATCAAATTCCAGATCAAGTCTACTAAAAATGTGTGAACTTAAAGTCTGGACATCATGGAATGTAAATGTACAATCCCTTCCACCGATCTCTGTTATATATGAAGCTGTCTGATGGTCAATTTCCTGAAAAAATCACTATGAGTTCGTTATTCTCACAATCCGAGATGATTCCTTAATTATAACACGGTGCTTAGAGCAACAAATGACCCCAAACTAACCCATATTCTAGCATAACACTAAGATATACATACATAGAACTGAAATATGATTCCGGCAACAAATTTTGAAATGGGTTTATTAAACTCAAAACAATTTGTATATGAGTAAGCATAAGCTGAAGCTAATGTGACTGTCTGAAAGCCTCTACTATGATGAGTTTCTAGGACAAGCCCCTAGTTAATTCTAAACTGTCTGAAAACTAAAATCATAACAACTGAATGAAATATAAAGTTCATCCTCGAAAGATGAGGATACACCAATAAAACTACTGAGTTGATCTGAAGTTGTACTAATCGTGGCCTGAGTCCTGAACGCCCAAATCTATATTATCAAACAATATAGCGCGAGAGTATGTGGTTGGTACTTTAAATGTGTCGAGTATGTAGGATATGCATGATAAACATAATACGTGGACATGCTGAATCTGAAATGTTGTACTGAATAACATGAAATGATGCACTGACCAAGTGGTAAAACATGCAACTAAAACATACTGAAACTATTATAACTAGCTACAAGGTCATGCAACATATGAGATTAAACTGTGAAAGATACTATAAACCGACATATAACCATGAGCTACAACATGGAGCTTGATGTATAATTCCCATAAAAAAGGTCCAATATACCTTGTCAAGGTATAGAGGTTGATTTGAGCTATTGTAGTACCACTAAGCTAATGTTTATAAATAGACTAAGGAGTCATCTTGGTTTGGGGGGTTATCCTTATAATCCTACGGTGGCACATATTTATGTGGCTTAGAATTCCTACTAAAGGTCTTAGTCATCAATTAATGGGTGAGCCTTCATTCCTAGGTCCACTCGGTGCTAAGTAAAACTCCTAAAGAAAATATGTTGATTAAGCAATTCGACTAAAAACACTGAATTATACTGATAAACTATAACAACTAAGGCTCACGAATTCTGATAAAAACTAATAATATCTAAGAGACATTTTATCTAAAAGTATCTTAAATTTTAAAAACTAATAATCTGATATGTGCATTATCTATACACTAAGGTTTCATAACATTACCATATACAATACTGATTTAATAGGTGGAAACACATAATGTAAACTATTCATGAGGAAGACAGAGAATAATGAAGAATCATGTTTTTCATAAAATCCTATCTGTTATAGAAATGGTGAATTGCAAAATTAGAATTTCTTTGGGACTCAATGGGTGAAAGGATACCCATTTATGAATATAAAAAATCCTCACATACCTGGAGAGAAGAAATCATCTTGAATCTTGAACTGAAGCTTGACGATGAAGAATCTTAGTTCTTGCTTAAGAGTAACCTTGAACGTACTGATTTTAGATTCTAGGAGTTATGCGTGAGAGGAGAGGCTTTGGTCGACTGATTTTTCTTTAATCTCACATAGGATAGACTAAAACAACATAGTATAAGGATTAAAAGAGTGAAAAAGACCAACATGACCCTTACTAAAAGCTGAGTTCAACAGCTTCCACGAGACTATCTATGGTCTATGGTTTCATTTACGGTAGATCACGTCCGTGGAAGTTAGGCAATAATACTGGGCTCTGAAGTTTCATTTATGGGGTGCATCTACGACCTATAGTCCCTTTTACGAGCCGTAGAACCTATTCATAAAACTCAGGCTAATATCCATATTTCAGGACTTTGATGTATGAACCAATCCACAATCCGTAATAGAAGTTACGACCCATGGTTTGGGTCTGAACTCTTAGTCCAAAATTTCTGCTTTTGAAGTTGGTCTACGAACCTCATCTATAGTCCGTGGTTCCATCCTATAGTCTATAGATGCTGCTCATAAATCTCAAAATCTCTGTAGACTGAAATTTTTCTTTGACTTCTCATTATTAGAACTTCTGACATGCTACATTTATAATAGGTAGACAAAGATCGACTATTTTTCTTGGTGGTGAAAAACTACTGATTCAGTTAATATAAATGAGTCTCATCCGATTCATCATAGAGATTTTTTGAAGTAACTTCCCATATCTCCCTAGTTGTTGCCAGCGATTGAATCTTTGCATTAAATGCATGATCATTAAATGAATAAACCAACTTCAAACTTTGTGATTTTCGGTGATCTGTGTCGTACGTTGGATCAGTTGGTGATGATTTGACCAATCCGCTAATAAGATGTCCAACTGCGTTTCTTGCTCCAATATGCGTCTCCACATTAGTTGTGATCATAAAGGATAATTCATTTCGTCAAAAAATATATCAGTGTAAAAAACAAAATTGTCCCGTTAGACTAAGAATTGTGGTACAAAGTTATTCGATTGGATTATAGAAATAGCTGAAAGCACTGGATTTAAGTTTGATTAATCCATTCAAAAAGAACAAAAAAATGGATTCAGGGAAAGAAGAAAGAGAGAAATAATGGTTGTTGCTTCAGAAAAGTTTTGTGGTCATGTTGAATAAAGTGACAAACTTAGAGCATGTTTGGATTGACTTAAAAGTTGATCAATCCTACTTTTAAGTCATTTTAGCTTATGAGAGTGTATGAAAAAATTTAAAAATAACTTAAAATAAGTTTAAAATGAGTTAAAATAAGTAAAAAGTAAAAAGTAAAAAGTAAAACTCTCTTATGTTACTTTTTGACTTTAAAAAGTTACTTTATAAAAACTATTTTTTTTAAACCAATTGAAACAGGGTCTTACTTAAAAGAAATCTATCGTTCTTTTCTTATTTTCGTCGTACTATATACACATTTGTATACAATAAAGAGAAAATCTAAAATTTTATTTTAGACAGATGACATTCTAGGCAACATACACATAAAAGACAACAACTAAATATTAATGTGATAAAATTTCCTAGAATTACAATCTCCTCTAATCATGGGATTTGAATGAGTTCTCTTATTTATTGTTAATATATATATGAATCCTTAAAGCCAAAATACTAAGCATGAGAAAGCCATTGAAGAAAAAAAATTTGGAGGAAACAATGGAGAAACTCAAGGATAAAGCCATGGCATCCGTGCGGACTTAATTAACAAATGGTAAAACATAATACTTGGAGAAAAGATCTCCTTTATTATTTTGTCTATTACTTTTAGACTATAGATTAGCCATGTTGGTAGGTAAACTTACACTCGTTTGGTGTGCGGGATAAAAACAAATAGTAATGGCATAAGAAAATAGTGATGGAATAAAATTTTTGTATCTTGTTTGGTTGCCATGTTTGGGATAACTTATCTCACAATTTATATCATAGTGATGAGATAACTTATCCCATATACATGGTGGGATAAGTTATCCTAAGATAGCTAATCTTATGATAACTAATTCTGGGATAACTTGTTCCCAACCAAACGACCCCATTTTTCTTTGATTTTATTTATTCGTGAGGTGCATATTTGCATGACATACAATCATTGGCTTTTACTATGTATGATTTTCTTAATGGCAACTTTTATTGAGTAATTTTAAAAGATAAAAAACGAATGATTTTATTGATACAAAATAAAATCCAATAACATTACTGCATAAATTTTCTATACCTGAATGACCTTTTATATATTAACTCTTCGATTTCCATTAGGTAGTGAGTTTTTAAAGCAAATGTGAACATCGTGACAAAATATAATAAACTCGAGTACTCCCCTTCATTTCTTCACTTTCGGTTCAACCAACTCCAACTTTAGAAACCTAATTGGTCCTACACTCAATCTAAACTCAAATCATTTTATCCCCACATTGCTCAAATCTCAAATTTCCAAACTCCCTTTTCTTGTAAGGAGGAATTTTTTTTATTTTTTTTTCATGTTTCATTGAATAAGTTTTTTAGAAAATATTGTTTCTCGAAAAATGATTTTTTTAATGAAAGTATAGGGAAAATAAGTTTCATAAGTGACATTTTATATTGGTTGCAGGGGCGGCTCTATGCTTTGTAAAATAAGTCTTATGCCTTAGGCCTCCAAATTTTGGGGTCCCAAATTTTTATCAAGGATAAATTATGTGTTAAATGTTTTATAGAAAAAAATTATTATTTATGATTAAAAGTATAATATTTTAAAAATATATTATTTTACTCACTTTAACATCTTTTGTACTTTGTTAAAAATAAAAAATAATAGTGAAAAGTGTTGAACAAAATGAATTACAATTTTTTTTTATTTGTTTTTAAATTTTAGTTTCAAGCATTACAACAAACATATTAAAATGGGGGTATACCAAGTCATCAACTTCTTGAGATTCTATGGTTCTAACTCTTATCTTAAAATTTGAACGAATGTGTATGCGAAGTTTGTTTATATTTTAGGCCTCTAATTGAAACTGCGCTTTACCCCCCACCCCAATTCCTATTCCTCGACCATCCTACCCCTGAGGCCCCTTTCCCCACCCCCTCTCACTCTATGGTGTTCTGATATTGTTTTTATTTATTACCAAACATTAGACGGTAAATAAATTATCAGCTTGTTTTAATTTTCAAGATCCATGAAAAATATTCTCTTCACACTATAACTTGACTTACTTAAAAGGTAGTAGTTGGCTTTGACGTCATCTTACAATAAGACTTGCGTCTTATTTTTGTTTTTTTGTTTTTTGCTTTTACATAATGCAATTATATTCTACTTTTCACACCTGAATTTCCGTATTTTCCATCATATTTTAAGCTGACTTCACGACTCGGGCTTTTCTATTCTTGGTATTAATAAAAATAAGTTTTCGTTTATAACATAAAAATGTATTTTTGGTATGTTTTGCTTTTCAAGATTCAAGCTTTCATCCACTTCATTTAGTGCGTAACATAGGTGACTTAAAAGGATAAATTAGATAAAATGGAGTGGAATGAATATAATGATTCGTATAGCCGAACCCAACCAATGTAATTGATATATGACTAAAAGGACTCCACTAAGATTAGTCTATGTTCGTGCCGAGAAATTCCACCTATCGAAAAATGAAAATGATTATTCTGATTAATCAACTTTAATTTGAGGAATACGTATCACACCATCACAAAATGAAAATGATTATTCTGATTAATCAACTTTAATTTGAGGAATACATATCACACCATCACAATGGATGGATTACTTGGCCTTAAAGACTTGACAAAAATGCAGTGTAACGACAACTCAAATTGGATCATTCTATTGGAGGACTAGGAGTCAAATCAATGATAAAATGTACAAAATGACAACCACTTTTTCTTTATAGTTGCTTCAAGTTTTGAAACTTAACTTGTCTTTCCTTTGGCAACTTTGTCAAACTCTCAATTATTTTAACTTATATAAATGAATATATAAACAATTGTTTAGAATGAATTACACAAATTGTATACAACTATGATACCAAACCTTTCCTCTATATACAAATTATCCCTTTGTCTTTTCTTCTTGTTTTAAACATCATATGAATCTTCAAAGCCTATTCATGGTAAAGAAATCTGTTTCTGTTCTTGTAGTCGCGATTCTTTTCTTCACCTTAACAGATGACACTCTTTCTATTTACCTCAATTCTAGTGCTTGCGTTACACAGAATTGTGGTGATGGAGTGAACATATCATACCCTTTTTGGATTCCTGAGAAACAGCCATCCTACTGTGGCTTACCAGCTTATAATGTCACTTGCAACAAACATAAGCCATTTGTTCATATTTCTGAAGAGGAGTTTATCATTAAGGAAGTATATTACACAAACTACTCGATTCTGCTAGCGAAAGCAGACGTGTTTGATGAAGAAAACAAATGTCCAGTACCAAGACATAATTTTAGCACAAGGGGTACTTCATTTTCTTTGGGACTTAACACTGCAGATCTCTTTTTCTTCTATGACTGCACTCTACCTTATGAAAGGGAGACATATGATGTCAATTGTGCCCGTAATGCCACTCACCATTCTTTCGCGGTTTTTCATACTGAGCTTCTGGAGCACTATAACTATTCAGTCGAATCGTGTCAGGATCCTGTTTATGCCCTTGTTGAGACTGATTCCATAGATAGATTGCTAAAAATGAATTACACACAAGTATTACAAAAGGGATTCTTTCTGCAGTGGGATGGGAGTAATTGTAGAGATTGTCGGAATAGTGGAGGGCGTTGTGGTGCTCAAAGTAATGATTTTTTGTGCATTTGCAAAGACCAAACCCAACCAAGAACATGCTTTCATGGTAAATTTAGAAACTATTATAAGTTTAAATCCATGTTTGACATTGAGTAGAGAATATCTCCTTAATTCCTAGATAAAAAAGGTAAACCATTCTGTTATTTATTGATCATGTTAAGGGAATAACGTTTCCGATTGAGGTGATACTGATAGCAGCTAATTAGTTATGCTTTACTGTGATACATTACAATTGTTCGGTATCAGTTGATCACCTGTCATGTTTTCATTTCAGGAAGAAGCAGAATCGGAGTAAAGATTGGCATAGGTGATTGTCCTTTGAATATGTTCCACCCTGATTTGTCTTATTATCCTCTTTTCTCAAGAATACTGAAATTCCAATACACATTTCTTCTTGCAGGTTTTGGTACGGCTGCATTTACCGCTTTGATGGCAGGTGTAATTTTCCTTATCCATCGTCGTAGACAGAACAGAAAAAGTTATGCTGGTTCGTCATTGATCACCAGAAACATTCTTTCCTATCCTTCCTCCATGAAGGATCCTGAAAAGGCTAATATAGCTATGGGAGTTCACCTCTTTGACTACAATGAACTGGAGGAAGCCACTAACAATTTTGATTCCAAGAAAGAGCTTGGAGATGGTGGATATGGCACAGTATATAAAGGTAAGTAAACTGATCTAAAATTGAAATTCTTACTGATAATGTGTCACTCAACTCACACACCTGATTGATTCATTAAGCATTTGGTTGAATATGATATGCTTATAGGTAAACTTCGTGATGGACGTGTCGTTGCTGTTAAACGTTTGTATGAAAACAACTGCAAGAGAGTAGAGCAATTCATGAATGAAATTGATATCCTAACACGGTTGCATCATCCAAACCTTGTCACTCTTTACGGATGCACATCTCGCCATTCCAGTGAGCTTCTACTTGTTTATGAATACATTCCAAATGGCACAGTTGCTGATCATCTACACGGTGGAGATTCACGGCGTGGATCGCCTTCATGGAATACACGAATGAAAATTGCCATAGAAACAGCAAACGCACTTGCCTATCTCCATGCTTCAGACGTCATCCACCGTGATGTAAAAACTAATAATATCCTTCTGGACAATAATTTCTGTGTTAAAGTAGCAGATTTTGGCTTGTCTCGGCTTTTCCCAACGCATCTTACTCATGTCTCAACAGCTCCACAGGGTACTCCTGGATATGTTGATCCTGAGTACCACGAGTGCTATCAGCTCACTGACAAAAGTGATGTTTATAGTTTCGGAGTGGTATTAGTTGAGCTTATATCATCACTGCCTGCTGTTGATATCTGTAGGCACCGACATGAAATTAATTTGTCAAATATGGCCATCAACAAGATTCAGAGCAATTTATTACATGAGTTGGTGGATTCAAATATCGGGTTTGACACTGATGATAATATAAGGTCAATGATAACTGCAATGGCAGAGTTAGCATTCCAATGTCTACAGAACGACGGGGATATGAGGCCATCTATGCAGGAAGTTGTGGAGGCTCTACTGAGAATTCAGAGAATGAATAAAACTGGGAAAACAGACAAGGGTCATCCTGATGACGATGATGCAGGCTTGTCGAAGAATAACACATCATTAGTTTCACCTGATTCGGTTACTGCAAAATGGAGTAGTAGTTTAACAACACCCAATGGTAGTACCTAGCATTTGGTTCTCTAAGGTGGTGCACTCAAACGCCTTCCATGTTGGTTTCCAAAACCTGAATTACACACTTTGATTACCTTGGTTTTCTCTGTTAAAGAGGATGTACATATGTCAGTGCAACACGTTTAATGATTCAATTTGAACTTCTCAAGTCTTCTTTTATCTTTTCGATCTTCTCAAGTGATCTGCTGATTTATTTTTGTAGCAGTACATGTTTAATTTAGTGCGTAGCAATGGAAGAATAGGATTAGTTTCAAGAGAACATTATCCGTATAGTGTAGTATGACAACTGACTGATTTCGAATGTAACATAGAAGTTCAGTGCTCTTAAGCAAGAAAGATTGTACGTGCTCAATCCTTTATGCTGATTTATCTTTAATTTTCTTTAACCAAGAGTGGCTTTCCAGCACAATGCTCTTTCATCAAGAGCTATGCTGCTCGAACTCTTCAATAATATCGACGAGTGTGTTTCGGATCCTCTAAAAGTAGTGTATTTTTGAAGGATCTGATACGCGTGCGTCAACATTTTTGAGGAGTCCGCATAATATAGCTCAAGAGTACATCTGAATGCTATCTTCCCTTTTTTTTTTCCCAATGTGATGAGGTGAGAAGTCTGAGACCATTGTTGATCTGGTAAACTGAAGAAGTAGAGCAACTCATTCATCTCATTATCCATACAACCTGGTTTTGTGCTTTTGTGGCACACAAGAATTGAGAGCCTGTTCTAAATATTCAAATGAAACTCTCCATATTACATATATATAATAAGAACTGTGTCTATTCTTGATGGAGAAGCAGTTCAAATTCTGAAGAGATTTAAAGACAAGTCTTCATAAATTATATACATTTCCTTCGGTTCAACCAAGTACAATACACTGAAATACTATCCTTCACGGTGAATTATTCCAATCAAACTCAAAATGAAAGACACAAATTCAAGTTCATTACTTCTAGAAAGTTCCGTCTTTGGCAGCTGTGCCTATGAAAGTTGCTAATTCTTCAGTAGAACAAAGTGATGAACTGGATGGAGAAATTACGGAGGCGTTCAGTGGCATTGCCTGTGTGTTCAAAGAATGTCTTCCTGAACAATAAGGAGTACATAATAAAGGTTTTGGTGGGATTTCTAAGACGAGGCTTCCCTCTAGCATGTCAATAACCTTACTCATTGATGGCCTTTGTGCTGGATCAGTTTGGATGCACCACAGACCAACTAATATCATCTTTCTAGCAGTTTCTTCTTCTTCTTCTATGTCTATAATCCCACGTAGCTTCAGGTCATCGTCTAGCTGAATGTGCTGATATGCCCAGTAAGGAAAATATATCTCACTTGTATGGCTCACTTCTTCCTTGACATTCTTTCTTCCTCCGACCATTTCTAGAACCATCATTCCATAACTATAGACATCAGACTTGTGTGACACTCCTCCAAAACTCCTACTGATTACTTCGGGAGCAATATAACCAATCGTCCCTCGTGCTCCTAACATGGAAACAATGCTTTCTTTTCTGGTGCATAGTTTTGCCAAACCAAAATCTGATATCTTAGGACAGAATTCTTCATCAAGGAGTATGTTATGAGGCTTTATGTCAAAATGCAAAATTCTTGTATTGCATCCACGGTGAAGATACTCCAATCCTTTAGCAATTCCAACTGCAATTTGATACAATTTGTTCAGTCCCAAGAGAGAACCATCACCGTATATGTATTTCTCTAAGGATCCATTTGGCATGAAGTCATAAATTAGAGCTCTTTTGCTCCCATCAAGACAGTATCCTAAAAGAGACACGACATTGACATGCGAAGTCTGGCTGATGCTTGCAACTTCATTGATAAATTCTTCACCATCACCTTTAGATGCTTTTAAAATCTTCACTGCAACTGCACGGCCGTCAGAAAGTTCACCTTTGTAGACTCCTCCATAACCTCCTTCACCAAGCTTATCTTTGAATCCATGTGTCATTTTCTTGATTTCCCAATAGCTGTATCTCCTTGGTGCCAGAGATCCATATTGCTTAAGTAAGGCCTCTAGACTTTGATCTTCTGTTTTGCCGCTAATTAATTGTATGCACTTGTAGAATGATTCTCTATATTGTGTGTACCAGATTCCTAAGCAGATTAACATCCCAATTCCAGCAATTGATATTCCTATATTATATTACAAGAGGAATTAATGGAACTTCATGTAGCTAAGCTACAAATTGTTTTATTAAAAATGAGCATACCTGTTGCTAAATGAATCTTATTAGTGTTTGCTTGAGTCCCATATGAGGCATCACTATAATCCACTTCAAACCCCTCATCCACAGCCTCTTGCAGCGTAAGAGTTGCGTCCCACAATTTGTTATAAGCAGTGGAAACAAGAGGTACTAGTATGCTAAAGGAACATCCTAGGACATTTGTTACAAATTCATCGCTAAAGAACACACCAGTGTTGATTGTTCCATTTATAAAACAACTAATATTGCTCTGCACCTGTACACTGGACAGGACCACAGAACTGCAGCCATAGTGTATGTTTATAAATCTAGTCCCTGCGACGTAGCTGCAGTGACAATTAAAATAGTGGGAGGCCGTTTGAAAGAGAAATATATCTAACTATACTTGTACTTTTTGTTATTACACATATTCATATACGGTAATACCCCGAGCCACTACGTACCTGAGACCATTGATTAAGGTGGTGTTGTACTTGTAGAGACTGTAGAGTGAAGAAGATTCTGGACAAACATTTTTCCAGTGATTATCATGAACCATTCTCATCTTGAGTGAGGACTGGTTAATTGACAGTACATGAAATTCAGAAGGTCTATAGCCAATGAGTTTTCCATAGACGTAAAGAACAGACAAAGTTGTCTGATTATCTTGGCACTGTAGATATAAATCATGGTTGCCACATAAACTTGATCGCGAACCACCTCCCCAGAACGGGTACTTAACACCATGTATGCTTCCACAGTTATAAGCATCTTCACAATTTACACTCTCGCCTTCAAACGAATAGCTGTAACATGATGGAATGGTGCAGATGACTAAGATTAGGAGGAAAAAACTTGTAAGGTCATATAAGAATAACATGACAACAATTATATGATCTTTCAAAGTTACATATCAAAATACACTTTCTCCATATCATTAAAGAGCTAAATCCAAATCCAAATCAAAGTCAATGGAAAGATCAGGTGAATCAAGTAAGAAAACACCTCTCTGAATAAACATTTCTTTAATGTGCCCATTGTTGTCATTTGTCAACACCTAACAGCTCTCTTAACCAAGACTTTGACCTGGATTACAAATGTATTTTTTTTTTTTTTGAAAGGTTCATCCTACTTTTAATAATGTATGAGTTATATCAAATCACATTGTAATGAGTATCACAAACTTTTTAACAAAAAAAAATACAATTTGAAATATATGAACAGTCAATCTACTCAAATAACTTCTTTATTGTATGTGAAATGATTAGACAATCCATGAACCTGCAAAATTTTGACAACAAAACTTGGTTTGGTAATTAAAGTAAAGATTAAAATTTTATGTTATTAGGTCCAAACATGTGATATATAGTATGTAACAGTACCAAAAAGAATATACAAAAATGATTAAATGACTCTGATTTGAATGCAGAAGAAAATTCTACATATCTTACTTTGTAGTTATCCTCTATTATTTTATCCAATGATGGTGAGAATTAGGCACATTCTTGATATTAATTTATATAAGAATTTAACATAAATGCATAGGTTTGATTAAATCATATACATCTTCTATTAAATATTAGTATTTACGTTATTTATCATTTGACAAGTCATCACCAGGGGAATTAAGAGTCCTTTAAGATGATAAATGTATGTTACGTGAAGCTTTTTATGATTAAATATATATAATAAGTAGTCTTTAATATAATATCATTAGATAAGACACCCTCTTTTAATATCATTTTTATTTATACTAATATAGCCTAGAAATTGTGATTCTAATATCTGTAATATTTTTTTAAAATAATATATATATATATATATATATATATAATTAGTATATTTGATGTATATATAACTGAAACAACTAATTCTAGCAAATAGTGCAAATTGACTAGAAAGGAAAGGACACAATTCTGGTGGGAAAAATAGTCTGGTAGTTAGCCATGTTTTCTGTTTGATTATTTCATTTCATTTATTTATAATTCTAATTTTCAGCAACGTAACACGTGACTAGCTTAGTATAAGAGACATCGTATCCATTGCAAATCATATAATTTGAATGATAATTGAAATTTTCTCTTCTCTAAATTCCTTCTCTTTTCTCTCTTGTTTCCTTCATTGTTCCTCTTTTGAATTCGATCCAATAATTTGATATTATTTGGTATCAGAGCATTGACTCAAAAACAAATCTTCATGACAAAAAATAAGGCTACGAGTGTTGTTGGTTTCAATCAAGCTTCATAGCTCATTAAGTTATTTGAGGATTTAAATGTTCAGCAAGCAAAGCTCCTAAAAATGTACAAGCTACTGGAGCAACGTAATGCTAGTTATTAAGATATGATGGTTGAACTCAATGGTGCGATTGATAACCTTTACCAGTAAAATCAGATGCGACATCACTCATCATCGATTATATGAATGTTGTCCCTCATTCTTCTTTATTTTCCTCTTTGTCTTTGTTCTCCCTCTTCAACTTCTGGCAAAACTTCTTTGTGTGCCCTTTCATGCCACCATGATAGAACTCAATATCCTTAAGTCTGCCTCTAAATTTACTTCTGTTATGTTTCCTATTTTGAGAATCACGAGTTTTATTTCTCCCCTGGAACTAGTTTAACAGGATAGCTGACGAAAAAGAACCATGAGATTTTCTTCTTATCTCTTCGTTCAAGACACTACTCTTGGCAAAATTCATAATGATCACACCATCAGAGCAAAATTTGATAATAAATTTCTGAATGTTTCCCAAGAGTCTGGTAGGGAACCAAGTAGAAGCAAGCCTTGAATTTATCATCAAATTTGATCCCCATAGCAAATAACTGATTCATAATCTCCTGAAAATTATTCAAGTGATTTATCGTTAGAGAACCATCAAGATATTTTAGATTTAACATTTGTTTTATCAAGAATATTTTGTTGTTGTCAGTCCTCCGAGCAAACAAACTCTCAAGATGCTCTCATTAGATTTGAGTATGTGTCTCCCCAAAAATATAATTAAACACATTATCGTCAATTTATTGCCTAATAGATCCATAATTCTGTCTGTGCAACAAATTCCACTCTTCATCTGTTTTATTTTCAAAGTTTATAGTGGTAAAATCAGTTGATAAAAATTCTTAACATTGAGAAGATCTTTCATTTTCCCTTCCAAATGACATAATTAACG